GACTTGCACAGCCCCGCACGTCACAAGGCCACTCTCTGAACAGTTGCCAATGCAGGAGAGGTCTCTACCCCCACTCACGGAGCCAAGTGGTCTTTTGAGTTTGGAGAGGGACCGTCAAAATGCCAGGAGGAGTCACAGGATTAAATTTGAGAAAGAGCCATGCAGGAGGTTTATGCAGTCAGTGTTTATCCGACGCCTACGCCTCCTGTTTGCTGCTCACAGAGCCCTCCAGGCTCAGCAGTTCAGTGCCCCAGCCAGTCACTGCTCCAGGTCTGCAGGTTGGGAGGTCAATGTCAGTCGGGCTGGCTGGGAGAGCTCTTGTCCAGGAGTTTCTGGGAGCAGCAGACCTGGGAGGGCATGTTCTTCTCAGGAGGATGGCAGATAAGAGAGCAAGCAGCTTCTTTTCATGCTGTTGGTTGCATAGCATTTAAGATCCGCTGGTCAAAACAAGTTACGTGGTTCATTCTGTAGACAGAAAACAGGAGGGAGAGAATGTGCCGAGCAAGGTGAATGAGTACGTCAGAAACACCCACCAGCCTCCCCCAGTGTGAAGCTTTGTACTCTTCCCTTTACTATCAAGTAAGTGCCTGCAAGAGATGGCCAGCTGACCCCTACCAGGTCCAGAGGAAGGGCTAGGCACTGCCCTGGGTGGAGGGGTGTTGTCACGTGGGAATCTTCAAGTGGTGATGTGGAGAAAGTGTGACCAGAGATTCAAAGAGATCTTATTTCAAAATAGAATCCAGCTTGTGTGTGTGTGTGTGTGTGTGTGTGTGTACACATGTGTGCGCGGTGGTTGGGGGAGTCTGATTTTTCAAGCGCTCTCTGACACCCTGAGTGGATGCCCTCTGTCTGAGGTGCTCATGTGGTTTTCCTCTCCACTGCCAGGTGACCTTGGCACATGGCTTAGCCTCTAGAGGCTCAGTGTCTTCAGCTGAGGATGGATTCGTAGCAGGGCCGCTCCCAGAGAGCTAGAACTAGTAGTTCATATAAAAGGGACGGTTGCTTTACATACATCGGGTATCAAAGGAGAGAAATGAGTTTCAAACTCTGTTGGATCTGAACGTTGAACAGTGTCGACCTCTTTCTCCCCATCTCTCTTTCTGTGTTCGCCTCTCCCCATCTTGCCATCTCTCCCTCCACCTCTTTATTCGTCTCCCCACCTCTTCCTCCAATCCTGTCTCTGCATCTCTGTGTCTCTCCGTCTTTCATCTCTCTCTCTCTCCCTCTGCCTCCTCAACCCCGCCCCCACTTCCCCTCCCCTCTTCTCCGTTTCCTCCTCCTCTCCCTTTCTATCCCTTCCTTCTGACTTCCGGGATGGGTCTTTTTAATCAGGCAAGCTTTCTCTAGGCAGTGGTAGAGCTGACCCCGACATCTTCAGAAATACCTAGCCCATAATGATATAATTTTCAAAGCTTCACTTTTATTCCAGCCAACAGTGCTCTCTATTTAAAGAATCAAATTGCTCTAAGAAGTACTTTATGAAAATAGCAGTCTCCATTCCCCGTTCTTTTTTCCTCCCCCAGAGCCATCACTTTCAACCTTTCAAAAAAGATTATCTTTGTGTTTATCTCCAAATAATATGGTGCATTTTTATTTTTCACTCTTAATTATGTCTTTAGCTGCCTCTACAGAAGGTAAGTAATTGACTTCACCACAGAAATACCCTCGTCCCTAGACCCAAGACCCAATATGGCGGAGTGACTCTTGGGGTTAGATCATTATTAAGTAATCACATTGTTCTAACTGTGAAAATGCTTCTCCCACCTGGGTCAAGCAGTTAACTTGTACTTTTCCTTCCTGTGTAACATTGTTTTCATTGGAGTGAATAGTATCCCTCTCTTCTTTCACTTAGTTCTCTATGGATCTGTTATGGATTCAGCCCCCATGCTCATTGTCTAATTCTCCTCTCAGGGTGTTTAGACTTTGTCTGTCTTTCATCCTCTTGTAGAATTCTTTCCCACTGCCTTCTCACCCACCCCAAGCTGCTTGTTGCCTTTGTCTCCTGTGTTCATCTCCTGGATGTATACCTCCCATTTTTCTCTTTACCGGATTTTGTATTTACTTTGATGGAGCATACTCTGAAGTAGCTTTCTGAGAAAAGGTTTATGGAAAGTAAAACTTTGAGATCTTATATATTTGAAAATGTTTATTATAGTCTTACCCTTAAAGAAGAGGAATAAATTGTTTATTTTTGAATTGTCAGAAGTAAATTCTAGATTAGAATTATTTTTTTCCTCCAGAATTTTGAAAGCATTGTTCTACTTCTAAATTCTCTGTGTTATTTTTAAGAAGCCCAAACTATTCCTGACTTCTGACTTTTTGCAGATAACCTGGAAGTTGATAGGATCTAAAATTGATCAACTTTTTCTTAAGAGAGAGAGAGGGGGAGGGAGAGAGAGAGAGAGAGAGAGAGAGAGAGAATTTTTCAATATATTTTTTTCAGTTTTTGGTGAACACAACCTCTTTATTTTTATTTTATGTGGTGCTGAGGATCGAACCCAGCGCCCCACGCATGCCAGGCGAGCACGTTACTGCTTGAGCCACATCCCCAGCCCTGATCAACTTTTTTTACAACATGTTTTGGTATGTGTTGAATCCATTGGGTTGAACACTCGATAGTCTTTTAGCTCTGAAAGATCATCACTCTCTGTCTGGGAAATGTTCCTGAGTTTTTTATTGAGGTTTTCTGCTCCTTCATGTTTTCTATTTTTCTTGAAGAATTCTTATTACTTCTATGTTAGATATACTAGACTGCTCTTATTCTTTTATTCTATTATTTTTTTCTTCTTTGTCCTTTTTTCTCTAATGTCTGGGAGATTTAGTTAACCTCATCTTTAAATTCTTCTACTGAGTTTTCTTTAGTTCTAATTTTCATAAGCTTTTTTGTCTTTTATTTTTCTCTTTACATAGCTTTCTTTCTTGTTTTATTGATGCAGTGAACTCCTCTTTTATTTTCTCTTACTTCTTTCAAGTTACTTTTTGTTGTTGTCAACAACATTGCTGTTGACATCTCTATCATTCTCTGTGCTCTTAGGGGGTTAGAAGTTTATAAATAGTCATTGCAGTTGTATCCAGGTCTCCTGTTTATACTTAAGAGTATGCACCAGAAAATCCATGGAAGAATTTTGTGTGTTATTGGGAGTTTTCGGCTGAGGACTCAGTGGATTCCAGCTGAGATGCTTTTACTAGGAAACCCTGATATCTGTATCTCCAAGGTTTTCCTCTGGGGCTGGTCAGAGAACTCAGAGATGATCTTGGGTTCGCTTGTCTTAAGGGAAAAAATACCTGCCTAGAGTGTGCTGGGAGTGGCCAGGACAGAGGTCCAGGGTCTCAGCACTGCATCCCAGGCTGATCTGAGCTTATTCTTGGAAGGGTGGCTGGTTGGGCCACTGAGCCCGACTCTCTCTGTTGGGAGATCAGGTTTGCCCTCTCCTCAGGAAAAACCTCTACCCTCCTCCCAAGTCCCACTGTCTGAAAATAGGAAGTGGGAGGGGCGTGGCACTGAAGCATGCAAACTTCTGCCTGATTGTCTTTTCAGCCCTGTGCTCACCACAGGTGAAGCACTTGGTTCCACTGTGACTCAGTCACTGGAGTCCTTTAATGGTCTGTTGGCACATTTCTCAGATCTACTCAGTCAATTGCTCATCCCTCAACAAAATCTTGCTACTGTCATCTTCCTCCCTATTCTTTTTGTGTGTGAGTGTGTGTGTTTATTTCAGCTGCGTTTAAGGAAACATTGAAATAAAATGTGTATGTTCAAGCCTTTGCTGCTCTGAAGGCCCTTTGTCTTCCAGTGCCCATATGAAGTCCCCAAGAACTTCCTGACAAAGGTGTTTGGATCTCTTGGCCCAGGTCCCCAGCCTGGTGCTAGTGCTGTGATCTGGGTCCTCTTGAGAGTTCACCTGCTTTTTTTTGTGATAGGCAAACTGGGACTCTAGCATTGACAGTTGCATGTGAGTCATCTGGAGTGGCAGGTCTCAAAAGAAAGGGGTGCAGCTCTTATAAATGGTAACAAATGTCCCAGACACAGGGCAGCACTGTCCTCCAAGAGGTGCTGATCTTGAGGAGGTGAGGACTGCCCTTGGTGTTGTTATAAACATGTTGCCCCCATCTCAGAAGCGCTGGCTGTCCAAGCAGAAAGCTCTGCCTTTGGTGTTGTCCTCCATTGAAGCTCAGCAGCATCTGCTCCCACTTAGGGCTCCTGGGCCAATTGATTAACACGATGCCCACTGAAGACCAGGGCCCCAAGGCTTCCCAGAGGAGTCATGTAGGATGGTGCTCACAGAACTCTGGACTGGGACTTGGAGAGTGCCCATGGAGGGTCAGACCAGCATACTTCCTTGACTTGGAGGACCAGTGGAAAAGGGTGCACCATTACTTCCCTACTTTAACAGATGAAGTTCTAAAGGAACGAAATCTAGCAGAGAGACCTTAAATAACCTGCATGTGTCATTTGAGAATAATCTGCCTACATCTTTGGTCTTATAACCATTTCTTTTGCGTCAGTCTCTGAAACAAGATGTCTGAGATATTCAAGGAACTAATGTCATTCTTCTAAAATATTTAAGCTCCAAATAAAAAGAAAAAAAATCTTTGGGTTCTTTTCGAGACCTCTGGCCATCTATGTCACACTGATGTGGTGTAGAGGACCAAACTTTTGAAGGGCATTCTAAATGGTAACCTTTAAATTAAGTCAACTGTTAGTAACTCCATGACAATGTTTATACATTATTGTCCTTTTCCTACTTAACAAGAACAAAAGGCCACAGCCAGACCAACCAGTCACATGTGAAGGGACCCAATGACATTTTTACTTCTAAACTCTTCTGGTATAAAAGGGCCACTGCAGGAGCGTCTTCCGGCAAGCGTGAGGAATTTGGCAATAAAACCACCTCCCTGCGCAGATTTTGGAAAGTCCAACATGATTAGGTAAAACACTTCATTTTTCTTCAATGAGAAATGTTGGGTTTTTATATGCCTTCAAATGTATACTTGTCAATATGAGACTAAATCTGAGGTGGTTGTTTTTCCTACTCTGCAGCTCATTAAAATTCAGCCTTGTCTTCACTCTGCTGCTGTCCACAATGCACGTGCTTCCCTGTTATCCAGTTCTATCATCTAAGGTAAAGGTTTTGCTCTGTTTTCGATGCTTGATAGGTGGCTAGACTAGTAGTGCACCTCTAGAGTGCCTAAGTTCAAACTCATCTCAAGGAATTCAGGACGGAGCAGGAATTTCCTTTATTTTTAGAGCTTTCAATTAAAAAAAGTATAAGCAGATTCATGCAAGTGGTTAAAGGGAGCTTTATATGACTATCAGCAATGCTGGGCTGTGTTAAATGTGTTGTGGATTATTTGGGATGGGCCCCCTGCATAGGGAAATGTTCTTTTTGGTATAAAATGTAATTTCTTGCCCATGACAATTTATTTATTCCACATGCATCATCTCATAGTCACAGCAAACATTTAGCCATTGAAATTACATAAAAAATACTATGATCATTTTCAGAAACAGTGAGTTTTCTAGTTTTACGAAAAAAAAGGAGACCTTTATCAGAGGCAGACTGTAGAGAAACTGCGAGGTTTCAAGGAAATGTTACATAAAATATTAATTCATGTATTTATTCAGGAGTATTGATTTAGGTCTCAACCATGCTCACTGAGCCATTTAGGATGTTCAGAAAATGAATGTCTTTCTTTGGAATATTTAATACTATTTCTATGATATTTTAGTTGTTTTATGTCAATATTTTGGTTAAAATTTTAAAATATCTTTGGTTGTTTATGACATCGTGAACTTCAACTTTTCTTCATTAAAACTTAACCTATCATACTGTAATTCTTGAAATCAATGTGATTTATGAAATCAATTATAGGATAAAGAGAAGTCACACCGATCCTAAATGACATATCTTCGTCCTGACATGATGACCTAGTTATTTATACTACTGGTCCCTCCCTACTCTTGCATCTGCCATTTTTCTATTTCTCATTTACTTAATATAGCTTCTCTTTCCCCTTCTTATCCCTATGAGTATTCGACACTAATTTAGTCATCGATTCTATAAGACACCACATTGATCAAGTTGATGAGTCACAAACCATAAATTGGTATATTGTCTCAAATGTCTTCCTAATGACTTTCTATTCTTCCCCCAAAGATTTGCTTGTGACGTTTCTGTTGAACAAGAGGCACTTGTCTGTTGCTTTTTTAAATTAAAAATGTTCTTTCTTCTAAAATACTTATGAGACCTCTTTGCTCATAAATGAAACATCTCTCCTCCCACTGCATTTTCTGTATCTCTGCTGTTGCACCTGACACTCTTGTTCTCCTCCTAACCCATCATCTGGTACTGATGTGGATGGTATTTGTGTCCATTTGATTAAGGTGAAGGTGCATGGAGGAGTTGATTGTACTTGCTTTGGACTTCATGAAGTCTGTCAACCAGGCCAGGGGCCCGCCTGGCAGAGGCTATCTTTGGAGCAGCAAGCTGCTGCCTTCCTGGGAAGGGCTGGGGAGCTCATGACCAGAGCTGGCACCTTTGTTCTTAGCACAAACTTGGCATCAGGAGCGTTTCTGGAGAGAACTGGATTGCTTCCCTTCCTGCAGTGACTCAGAGGCCCCTCCTGCTGAGAATTTAAAATAGATGGCATTAATCTATCATGTTTAGGTTCCCTCTGTTGAAACAGGGAAAAACACATAGTGGTGTTCAACTCTGAGTTTTTGAATTGGTTTTCCCATAACTGATATTTATGAAACTGTCTTTGCCTATTCCCAAATCAAAAAGAAAGAAAAGAAAAGAAAGAAAGAAAACAAATCTGTTCTTCCAGGGGCCACGAGGAATGGCTTGCCTGGGAGGTCTGACTGCTGGAGCCCCCAGGAGGCCACCCCTGTGGGGGTGTAGGATTCCAGGAACATCTGAGCCCCTTTTCCACCTCCAAACACAGTAACCCGAGGCCAAACTTTTCTTCCTGCATGGATACAGCAAAGGGCATGATGTCTGCTCTGCGGCATGCATCTTTATTTGTAATAAAAGCATTCAGCTCTTGTCCTTCTACACAGTTGAGAAACCTGGGCTTGGATCAGATGCCTCAGCTTTTGAATGACTTTAGCTCCAGGCCATTTTATTTCCTCATCTGAAACCAAGGAATTAATAGTACCTGCTTCATAGAGGTTTGGGGGGAAATAAAACAAGATGAAGTACAGAAAGCATAGCCCAGAGATCACTGACAAATCACTGCTGTGATTACCAATGAGATTTGTATTAGTGTCTCGTCAGTGTGTTGCGATTCTTCAGAAACCTTACAAGAGAGAAAGCCTGAGAGTGGTGACAGTTCTCAGGGAGCCCTGGGTCCGGCTCTCCCCTGGGGCTGGGGGCACATCCTCATTCCAGTGCAGTTTCCTCATCTGCCAACGTGGGGTTGAACTTTAGACTTAGGTGCCCAGCTCCTGCGCTGGGGTTCCAGACCTGGTTCTCTGGCTCAGTGTCCCAACGGTGGCCAGCACAGTTCAGGCCTCCCATGGCTAATGAGGGATGGACGGGAAGCCAAAAGTTGCAGATGCCAGGCTCCAAACAGCGAGACCTCCCTTTGGGGACCCTGGGCAAGTCTCCAGGACAGCCCAGAAGGAACGTGCTCCCGACTGAAACCTGGAATTTGGTCATCCTGGGTGGTGTTTCTAAGTGAATTTTTCCAACGATTCCCAGGACTAATTAAAGCTGCTTGAAACATTCCTTATAAAGTTCCAGCAACAAGATAACTATGCGGTGCCTGATATAAATGCCAAACAGCAGCAATTACATAAGGAGTGCAAAATTAGATAAGTGGGCAGATCACTCCAAATAATATTTTGTATCTGGATAAAGTATATGTTGTGTTTTAGCAGAATATCTGCCCTTAAGAAGATTAGATATATTGGATTTGTCCCCAAAAGATTTTGAAAATTGTTACTGTTGCAATAAACTTTTAACCTAAAGCTATATTCTCTCCTCCCTCCCCCACCAGAATCGCCAGGTGTCTGGGAAGCCTGATTACTTTCTCGTCCTGCTGAGCAGCTGCCTGGCCAGGCTGGATGGGAGCGAGGAACCAGCATTTTTAAAGCCAATTTTGGAGAAGACATCTATGAAAAGGTCCTTTCGCAATGGAGTTGGCACAGGGATGAAAAAAACTTCCTTTCGAAGAGCAAAACCATGAATAAGTGTGCAAAGGACTCTGGGAATTAATCTCCAACTATGTGAAGTGTGACTGATGGGCTAAAGTCCGTCCTATCTTCATCATTAAGTGTCAGTTGCTCTCAATCCTCAAATCTTGCCTCTCCTAACTGGTTCAGAGTAAATTGAGTTTTAGAAAAATGTAAACCTGTCCCAAACTTTTGCTTGTGAGAGAAAAACCCATTTCTGTGCTCAGTAAGCAACTTTTCCAAATGGGGTCGGACACATTTGCTTTGATTTAAGATTGACTAGAAGGTGTGAGTGTTTGTTTTTTTACAGTCATGAGGAAAGTATGATGTTTTTTCCCTGCCTGTAATATTGCAGTATTGTCATATTGAATACCACAGTGAGATAGAGATATGCTCTTTTTTTTTCTTTTAAATATGGTTTTCTCAAATGGCATAGCTGGGCCAACTCTTCTGGGCTGTGCTACTTGGGTTTGTAATAGCATCTTGTGAAACTAACTGCAGGAAACATTGTCGGTACCACTGTATCAATCAGTCGATCAATACACACCATGAGTATCACTGGAGCCCTCTGGATGTAATTCTTTCTTCCCTTTCCTGGTTTTAAAGGAACTCAAACATGGATTGTCTGGTTAATTTGTTGCCTTTTAAAATTAAAACACGAAGAGGACAGCCTGCTGCTTGCCCTGATGGGTGGGGGAGTCTTTGGGGAGCTCAGTCTTCAAAACTGTGCTGATTGAGGTCCTCTCATTCCTCTGAGGAGGGGCCGTCGCCTTTTCCATTGAATCTCTTTGTGTGGTAAATTAGTTTGAAGGTGTAGTTATGAGTGCTTATTAATACACAGAGTATTGTACAAATTAATGGGTTTGACTGTGACTTTTCCATGGAAAGTCTTGACATTGCTTTTTTTAAAAAAGTCACTGTAGCATTGGTTGTTGTGCTATTTCCAAAAGCAGGAGGGCAATGCTGGGCTCACTCACCCCAGAGTCTGCACCACGCTAGGGGTGTTCACTGGACACCACTCACCATCGCAGAAGCTTCGGAAAGGCACTGTCTTAGGTCACCAGCTTTACATACAGACACAGAGTCTTCAGAGAATGGTCTCATGTGAGCAGGTCTCAGAGTGGCCAGGCAGCCTGCTCCGTCGAGTGAGTTCTACAAAACAAGTCTTCACATAGGCAGGGCTGGCTGGGGACAGTGCTGGGAGGTGACAGCAAGCCCAAGGACTACACAGTTCTGGATTGTCTTGGCCTCTGTGCTTCACGGTTTGGGTGTGGTCTGGTCTGCTCTTGCTGTCTAGATGAGCATGAAGTATGGGGGAAAGCTAGCCAGGCACCAGGGACCTCAGGGAGACACATTTAGGGAAGCACAGAGGAGCCTTCCTCAAGTGCAAGGCCTTCAGGCGGCCCTCTCTGACCTCTCTGGGACACAGGCTGTCTCTTGTCCCCTCCCAGTGGCATTTTCCCCCCTAAAGACCAGATGGTCTGTAAGACCGTGCGTCTGCTCCCCCCAGGACCCTGGCTTTGAGTCGATCACCTCTCAACTCTAGTGCCTAACACCTGGGTCACACCTTCCATTTCCTTTGGGGACAGGAGTCCACTGCTGTCCTCATCCCAGAGCTAGTGTGCAGGGTCCTCTGTCTAAGGACACTGCCAGGGCCTGTGGGACAGAGGGGAAGGGGGGTCACATACATCGCTGTGTTGCCTGCCTTGCGCTCCCTCCGTACCCTGGATCCCAAATTGCACCTGGCCCTTTGAGCCTGTTTCTTCTTTCATATAAAGGGACCAGGTATAGCCTGCAGCAGTTTTTAAACATTTCTTAGGTAAACTCACATTTTCTGGGATGATTTGTTTTTCCTTATTCCTGCTTCTCAAACCACACAGGTGTGTGCACACACATGCGTGCACGCACACACCTGAGAGGCGGGCAGGGTTAATTTTCTAGATCCTCAGGCACAGCTTTGGTCTTGATACAAACTGGCCCTGGCCTTCAGGACCTGCTGGGTGATGGGCGAGGTGCAGGCTGTGGGTGGTATGGGGGCACTGCTGACACACCAGGATGCTCCTTGGCCGACTTCATCCGCCCAAGTCTCTGGGATTGCAGGTATGTGCCGGTGATGTTTTTAAAAATCACTGAAATATTCTTTTTTTTTTTTGGGTGAAGGAAACCCTGTTCCCCAGCTCACTCCATGTGTCTGGGTACGGACGAAGGTAAGATGCCCCACTGCACCCTGTGGACTAGCTACCCCGATGTTCTTTGGTTTTCTGTCACTGTGGTCCTTTCCTTTGTTCCTATGGGGCAGCTTGAATGCTCAGAGCAATCGGCCAGGGGCAGCTCCACTCTCCTTACCTGAGGCCCCAAGAGGGACTCCTCTCTCAGCACCTGGAAGTGCAGCGAGAAGCTGCCCCTAAGTGGGAGCTCAAGACTTTGCAGCACAGCGAGGCCTAACCAGCAATACGGAAAGCACGTCCAATAAAATTAGAAAACCTACTGTAAGTTTGTCTGCCCAGCTCTATTGGTGGGGAGCTAATTAGATAGCCTGATAGGCCTTATTTACTACTTCAAAGCTGAAAACGAGTTACTGCATTAATAAGCTTGGGGTGAGCTTGGCGTCGATAGGCATCTTGTGTACGGAAAATGGGAGATTGCTATTTCAGGGGAATTGTCCTAATTTTCAACTATTTGCATTTATATGGATTGGTTGAAATAATAAAACACCAAACACATAATTGGAAAGATTCTCTTTCCATTTCCAGGTCTCAAATATCATTTCAGCCTCGAGGGAAAAGGACTGTGAAAAAGTATTTGCACTCGAAAAATTATAGCAGATTACAAGAGGGCAGATTGGAAGTTTTGCTTTCTGAGGGAAAATTATACCTTTGATAAGGTTTTAGAAATGAAGTATTAAAGAAAACAAATATCTGAGTCATGTTTAAGAAGAGTCACCGGAGAGGTAACCAAGGATGGTCACCAACCTCCTGGGGAAGAGGAGCCCTGATACAGTAGATTGCATTTGGCCATTGACATCTGTTTCTAAGGGTCCAGAGCAACCCTGCCTGCCTGTGCCTAAGGCTGTGTGCAGGAAAATGATAGGGTGGCAGGGTGGCAGAGGTTGTGACCAGAGGGTCCTGGGCACCCCCCACCCCTCAGCACCAGGCAGCTTCGGTGGAGGCTAGAACTTTATGTTCAGAGACGGAGGCACCAGGCAAAGTTTTGGAAGCCCTGTGAATGCAGCATCCCAAGGGATGAGTAAGGTTTCGGTTAATTTCCCCCAATCCTACCTGAACCTGATTGTCTTTCATGTTCTGTGTGGAGTGATTTCGTTGGAGGGGAAGGAAAAGAGCCCCTGAGGCATGTAGGTGTCTGGGGAGAGAACGTCAGTGTGGAGGAGCAGGCAATCAGGAGACAGAAGACCCAAGAACCCTGGGCCCCTGGACCACACTCCAGCCCAGTGCCATGCTTGCTCTGTTGTGCCACCTTGCTCAAGCTTCTAGAAACTTCTGAGCCCGAGTTCCACCACCCCAAGACGGGGCTATTATGACCAGCCTCACAGGGTTGTTTGTAAATTTATTTCTCCATTTGCTCATCACATATTTATTGAACACATACCTCCAGGGAAAGTTTTCCAGGTACTGGGAAAGCTGCCGTAAAGAAAACAGATCAAAACTATTGGGATGGAGTTGGAGAAGCATGATATACTTGAAATATAATACATGTAAAGTGTGCCCAATAAAATGTGAACAATCTGGCAGAAGTTCTCAGGGAAATTGATCTTTCTTATTTGCCTAGCATTATTGGTGAGAAGCTAATTAGATGAACTGGTAGGTGTTATTTAACATGCACACATACATATAGTATGCACAACATATAATAGTGTACTGTCGGAACGTACACACTATTATAGGTAATTATATATATATTTGTAAATGTACATAGTATTTTAGACGGTGACAAGGAGAAACAGCAAGGAAGAGAGGGAGCGGTGTGGGGCAGAGTGGGGATGTAATTTCCAATACAGTGTCTCGGGGAGCTGTAGCTGGAGAAGACTAGCAAGAATTTCAATATTCTGGGAGCAGAGTGAGCATAGAGCAGATGAAAAGAGATGGGACCAGATAGGTCAGGGTGTTTCTGAAGGGTCTCGCAAGACTTCCGCTTTTCTTCTGAGTGACTCAGAGAAATGACATTACCAATGCATCTTTTAGCTTTCATGAGTTTAAAAGAACAGGAATGAAATACACAAGCAGTAACTTCAACAAAAGAGCAGTCCATCCTATGAGTCACAGCAGGCCACAGGTCCCCTTCCTTCCTTGCCTGCTCCACAGCTCTGCCCTGAGAGACAGATAAGTCGGGAGCTGTGGTCTTGGCCAGGACAGGGCAGGGAGACAGGCGCTGTCCGAGGTGCTGAGGGAACCGGGGCTAGCAGAGTGGATTCCTGCCCTTGGTTGAAAACCTGCCTGGTAGGTGGGGTGCCATCCCCCTGGATTCTTTTTCATGCGAGATTGAGGAGTGATTTGTTCCTACAAATATTTCCTGAAAGTTCATAGAACTATACCAAATATTTTGGAGGGGATGCATGACAATAGCTGGACAGCCCAGACAGATAAATACAAGAATTGAGGCTTGGCCTTTGACACTTGTATTTTGGGGGTGCCCACCTCATTGTCTTTCTGTTGGTTATTGATTTCTAATGTTGAAGTCTAAGAACAAATCAAAAAGGGCGTCTCCTACAAGAGTTCTACTGCTCCACCCCATCTCTTTCATCTTTGACAAGTTGCAGGAAAGGATCAGTGTTTTGGGGAAGGCAAATCTGAGAACCACTGGATTCTCTTTTCCATATAGTTTCCTACCAGAGTCCTATTCCTGTGCTCAATATCCTCATCTCTTATTGGCTCATCAGGCCATTACGGGAAGGAAAAAGCATCAAAGAGCCTCTCCTCCACCCTCCCTGTCTGGACCGCTCTCTGAATACTCACACATAGGCACGCTTTGGGGAAGAGGCTGGCTTCTCGGCTGGTGG